AAACGCATCCTGTTCCTGTTAGCCCACCCCTGTAACCTATCCAGATCCCTCTGCAATCTCTCCCTCCCTGCTAGCGTGCTCACCTCCCCCCAAATTTTGGTGTCATCAGTGAATTTAAACAGGTTACTTTCCACCCCATCATCTAGATCGCTGATGAAGAAATGGTAGTTTAACTGTAGCAAAAATTGAATAATCAGTGCAGATTGTCAGGAGTACTGGGATCTCAGTCATTAGTAACTCCGTCAGATGCTGCTCAAGAAACGTACCAAGATGCACTGTACGATTTTTTTATACAGGAATTTGGAAGGTGATGTTGCCTTGCGAAGCTCTGCTGCTGTCTACACTTACTGCAAATCACGAGGGTTATTTGCAGGAGTATCTTTGGAAGGTACCTGTTTAATTGAAAGGAAAGAAACTAATCGAAAGTAAGTCCTGTTAAAAAAAAAAATCAAATGATTTGGTTAAATTAAATGGTGACAATAGTGACACAACAAACGGTGCTTGTTAAACAGTGTTTACGGGGGGGGTTAATTTTGTTTAAATTTTATTATAGATGTGTTCCATGCTGTGTCATTTGTTTGTTTGTTATAGTGAGTGGGGAAAAGGAAGGACTATATATTTAGTAGTCTCTGCATAATAATGGCAAGCTTTTTTTCCCATATATTACATTGCATAAGCAAACAAATTATGCTGAAATGTTAATGGAAGGGTCAATAGGAAAATATTTGAAATAGTTGTTTAGTAAACTTTGTAGAACAGGAACACTGTGGGGTACCACTTACGTGTTGGGTTACTCACAACTAGTGTACCACTCTTAATAAATTGAGGTAAGAGTAGTCATTGTTCAGGTGAAATATGGGACAAACAGAAAAGAAAATTTTAGCTATTTAGATTTGTATTAACACAGTGGAACAACTTCTGTCTGTGGAGTGACTTCAGTTAGCTCTAATGTCATTATCCAAAGGAGAATTAGGACCGCAGTAATTTCTATCATATTAGCAGTGGCAGTTGAGCATTGCCTTACACGCACATCAATCTCTCCACACCATGGTGCAATTTTTCTGCAGTTTAGCACAGAGTACTTCATTCTAAATTCAAAAACATTATTTTGGAACACACAGAATGAACAAGTTACTTTTGTCTTGGAATGCCAAGTCATTTGGCCTTTTTTTTTAAAATAAATTGTGAGCTATGGTTTAGAGCAGTGGTCTCCAAACTTTTTTGATCGTGCACCCTTATCAGTAAAAATTTTTTGAGCACGCACCCCCAATATATGTATATTTATTGGGGGCGCCACTAAGGACACTACTGTCAACCCCTCTGCGTTGTGGAACTCCCACTCTTCCCTCAGGATATCTTGAGTACCGTATGTGACACATGACTGTCTGACATATGGACCGAGTGAGGGTGCCAGTGTCAATCCATATATTAAATATTAGTAAAGCTTAATTTCTTTCTTTTTTTTTCGATAAAAAATAAATATAAATAGAAGTTCTAATATTTTCTTCCCACACCCCAATAGATCGTCTTGCACACGCCACTTTGGAGACCGCCGTTTTAGAGCAAGGCAGTCCAGCTTCTAAGTAGCTGGGGGCCCTATGCCATATGGGTCACATCAGCAGGGGCTGCATGCTGTGCTGACATCCCTTTCTTCCTGCCCTTCCCCCTTCCCCCCACCACACACACTGCGCTATGTGTGCAGGCAGATCAACTTCACCCTCAGCTTCCCAGCCACAGGCCTCCCCCGCATTGCTTCATACTGAGTTGGTGCCTTGGTCTGCAAGCTTCTCTGGCCCCACAAGTTACTCTGCACTCCCCCCTGTGTTGGAGGCAGGAAGCAGATGCAGGAGGAGGGTCCTGAAGACCCTGGGTATTGCTGCAGCCAGTTATTGGGGGGAGCTGTGGTCAGGTAGGAGCCTGGGGGCCACAAATTAACTCTTTATGCACTACATGCAGGCCAGTTGAACAGTCCTGGTTTAGAGTCTCATTGAAGAATATAAAGGACATGTTCTTATATAGCTTTCTTTTCCCATGACTGATAATAACACTGTCAAAATTAGTTCCAGTTGTCAATCTTATGTTTTCTCGATTCTTTTGGCACATTTCACTAATGACAATCAAAGCAACACATATATGCATCCTAGTCAACTTTAAATTTTAACTTGATTGTCAGGCACTTTTTAATGTATAACAGAAATTTGGTAAACTCAATGTTAGACATGACAAAAATTAGAACATATAACCAACCTAATAATTCATCAAGAGTCAAGGCCTTTAAAAATCACAACTGATCTGTATGCATGCCACTGTAATTAATTTTTACACAGCAAGGTTTAGACAAACAGTTGTATGAGCACAGGCACTGCAATAGGCTCTGGGAGCTTCTTCTTTACATGGGATAGTTTATGGCCAGTGTGCAATGTGCCCCCTTTGCATGAGGAGAACTTATGTGCCCCTGCCCTGGGAACTGCCAAAATGAGCTGGTGATTCTTAGTTTCCTACTGTAAATAAGGCAACTCTAAGAGTCCTAAGCAGTAGACTTGTATGTGCTTAATACCAGACATCCACTGCAATATTTGTGGTATGGTATGAAAGCTACAGTGTTTGTGAATGTTATCAAGAGTCATGTGTCCTTTTTCATCATAATGAAAGTCAATAAACACAGTGGACCAAGAATTTTCAGTATACAAATCCTCTGCGCCTTTTTGTTTACCCAAAGGTATCACAGTGGATCTTAAATGTGCATCAGTAGGTCCTTAGTTGCTTATGGCTTCTGCTAAGTTACTGCTCTATTGTCTGTTTTATTTAGAGCTTGCGTTGAATGTTTAAGTGTACCAGGTGATCCTGTGGTTGATATCTGAATACAAGGGGAGTTGGGGGAAGAGAGTCCTTCATGTTTGCTCAAAACATCAGTAAAGATTATTCTGGAATCAGAAAAGGAAATATTTCAGTCTGGTCATCATTCCACAACAAATTCCACCATTGCTTCATAGGTAATTGATAAAAACAAAGTAAATTAAATGTTACTATATACAACACAAAGAAATAGCCACATTTGGTACATATGGACTCTGTTACATTCTCAGCAGATATAGGTGTTGATATAAGACTATTATCAACATAACTAATATTTTTTAATGCTAGGTTCTATGGTCTGGATATTCGTGCTAGTGCTATTTTATTCGGTGATCTACCTCCTCCTGCTCATGCCGAAGACCTTTATAAAATTCTGAATTCTTTCACTGAAAAGTATGAAATTGAAGAGCAGAAGCACCCTTCAAGGAAAGGACCAAGGGAACCAAAGAAGGTTTGCATACATCTTTTTTCATATTGGGCTTATCAGTTACTGAAACCTTTCATTTTACGATAGAACCTAAGGCTTATACTGGGATGAGCTTGGCAGTCTCTGCAGTCAGTGCACTATATTGACTGCTGACTGGCTCGGAGGCTGTTCCTGTGTGTAAGATTATCACTGTTTAGAACAGTGGTGCTCAGCCTTCTCACATTGCTGGCTGGAGGAGTGGTATAAGGCCAGTCTGAAGTCCCAGTCCAGTGTGGGGTTGATTACTGATGTGATCTGGCATGCTGGCCTAGCTTGATCCCATGCATGCTCCTGATTCTGCATACCAACTCCACTATGCACTGGTATGATGTAGCATGCAAGGTCATATCATCCACCCCGCAGGGCTTCCCACAGGTTTAGAAATTTGGAAACATGGAAACTGCAATTAACACTGCCACTGCACCCCCACTGCTACATTTTCAAACCTGTGGGGAGATCCATGGTCTGCATGCCACAGTTCCACAGGCTGGTTCTGGCCAGTGGGCTGCAGGTTGAGTGCAACTGGTTTAGAACTAATTATGATAGTTCCCTGTATATTCTAGTATAATAGTATCTTTCTTCCAAGGAAGCAACTTAATTGGAGAACTTGACATGTCGCACCCAGAAAAGTTTGTTTTTATTATTATCTTTAAATAAATTCTTAACCACTTACCTTGCCTTTTTCAGGAAATTCTTTCATTATTAAAATGTCTGGTTAGAAGTCTTATTTATAGTTGAGTTTCTCTGTCTCTTCTGGACTCCTTGGATGGGGTCATCAGTTTTTTTCAGTAAGAAGATATTGAGGATTATAGAAGGATTTTTTTATCAGTCTATACCTGGTTTTCATCCAGATATAATTCCTGGTGCTACTGATGCACTGCAGTATACATAATTTATTTTCCACTTTTGTGTTAAAACTTCATTTGACGAATTATTGCATAACTCTGTCCAAAGATGTTATCGGTGCTTTTTATGGTCTTCTAGACTACATCAGGTTCTTTAGTCACATTATTCTGTTCTTTCTCATGAGATGAAATTTTATGTTACTTTTGAAATGATTTATTTTAGGCTAACGACCCACCTGTTAAACCATCATCGAGGCCACAATCACATAGGCCATCTCTGAACACTGCGTCAACAGGTTAGACAATGTTTTGGTGATAATATCAACTGTATTGTGTAAACAGCAAAGTATTCTAAAATAAGCCTAATAAGTATTAATATTCTTACACAATTCAACTTTATTTTCTTGTGTGAAATGGTGAGATTGCTTAGCTACAATATGGACATATTTATTCTGAGAGTCTGGAAATGAAATGCTTGGAGTATTTTTTTTATATTTTTTGATAAATGTAATTTTAGCTAGTTTCTAAATGTCTCCAAATAATGAGATGTTTACCAGACGCTACAACATATATGAGCTGTTTTTACCTTTATGATAATCTATGACAATTTAAAATAGAAAATAAGTGCTAATGTCACAATTTGTTTGTGTGTATGGTTCAAAAGGAGAATACTGCTTTATACTGTGGAAATGTTTCTTTTATTTAAGATGAATGTGTCCTTCTAAAAACTGCTGTCTCGTAGGAAGATATTTCTTTCCTGGCCTAAATGTCCTGTCTCTTCCCCTCTTTATTTAGGTAGATAGTTTTCTTATAGGGGGTAGAATCTTGTTTTCAAGAGCATGAATTACTTGTAGCAGTCTGTCTACCGACCATGCAAGCGGGGGATATGTTTCTGCTGATGATTTCTGCTTCCTGTGAAAAGTGACAGAGAAACAATGGATTTGATAGTCAGAAACTAGCCTTTTCTGTAGCTATGATTGCTGACCCCATTTCCTCTTTGAGCAGGAATAAAAGCCAATATCCCAATCTATCACTCCTGATTCAACAAATAGCTGTTTGTATTCTTTTACACTGCTTCTGATCTAACAGTAATAATTGTACAGCTGTTGTGAACTTATGTTACAAAAGCAGCAAAGTAAAATTACATAGATTAGTATGGTATAGAAACTTATTCTAATTTTTTTCTGCAGCAGTAAAAAATCCACAGACACTTTACCCCGAACTTCCCAGTTACGCTGCTGTGGGTGAGTACCAGACTTGATCTGTATTTAGAAATCTCATACTCAACATCTTTTTAAGACTTCATTTTGATATTATTGGAAAATGCACTATGAAAAGAAAGATTTAAAATAAAATTAGTCCCATGGGGTAAACAACTCTATATTTGATTTTTGTCCTTCCCATTTTAAAAATATTTTATAAACATCTAAATTTATCTCATTGCATGGCCGTATGTATTTTTGTGAAATACTGTCACCCTCGTTTCTCTCTTCTGATAGCTTAACTTTTCAAATAGCAAAAATATGTTTTTCCTCTATTGTATCCCCCTAATAATTAGTGAAACTGTACATTTGACAATACCACCATAAAGAGGCAAAAGAGATGACCCATATAACAAATATGTCCAGCTCTAGCTTTTCCTCCCCTTGTACAAGCCAATTGAAATAAAAGTAATTCACGCTGATCAAGTCTGAGTTTGTTGTCATAAGGTAAGTTCATCATTTTATTTATACCATTTCATTGGTTTATTCAGTGAGGTAAAAATACGGGACTGGCTCATTTTCATTTCTAATTTTGTGGTTTGATTCTGTGGCCACTTAGGCCATTCTTGTCTAAGGGAACTCATATATTGAAATTTCAAACTCAGAACCCCATTAATAATGACTTGCAGCCCAGACAGTTTAACTTTTGGTGTACTAAGCAGAACCCAGGTTTTATTGGTAAAGGCCACTTGTGATGACAAATGCAAAAAAAAACAACAATGCAGGTGGTAAGAAAATGCCACTGTGTGTGTGATATTTGATAGCTAGAAAATTACATACATATAATACTTCTCCCAACAATGAAGAAGTCTCCCTGCACTTATCTGCATGCTATGTTCAACACCAAAGGTCTTCTTTCATCCCAGCTGACACATGGAAATTTCTCCTATTCTGTATGCAGGAATACATTTTTGTGAAGATGGCTGATTTTGGTGGTTGAATCTAGAGGGAATCAGGCAACTATTGAGGGCACTTAAACTCAAGAATTGCATTAACAGCCACGTTTAATGTAACTCTCTGAGGAGAACAAGAGGCAGGAAATGTCATTTTCCCAAGACTCTGCCCCATGCATACATGCATGCTCATGCATGTGCACACTCATGTATGTACACTCTCTGTCCCTGCCAAAAACTGTGTTCCTTGAAGTGAAGAAGGGTTTGGCAAAAACTGGTGGTAAAAATATTTTACCTTACATTTCAGTACATTTCAGATCAGTTTTTCATAGACAGGTACAGATTGAATATTATAGATAGTTCCTGCTTTTAGGCTCTAAAATGCTAATTTCCAGAGTAAAGAATAAGGCTCTGGGCCTGCAATGTGTTCTGTTAGTACTGAATATCAGCACCTCCTTCCCCTCCATACTGTTGCGTAGTTGCACTGAAATCAATAGGAACATTTAGGAACAAGGACCTATGTTAACTGATCAGCACGGTAGGCTCAGAGGTTCTAGTTACATATTCAGGCTCTTAATAGAGTAAAATAAAGCTACAACATGCAAGCCAAATCTTTACTGTTGCTAGTGAAGAAAATTACTATAACATGTAAATAACTAACAATAAAATGAATATTTTAACAGTTGTATCTTAGTTTTTATTATGTTAACGTAAATATTAGTATTTGATATAGTAATTTGGCAACAGGACTTCCAGTGTCGTCAGCTCCAAGGGATTAATTGTTGAGGGGGAGGGAGATGATTATCATAAAGGCTGAAAGAAGTGAACCACTTGGCGTTTGTTTATGTTACATCAGGAAAAGCTAGACTTGTATTTGAAATATCTTTCATTACATGTCGTGGTGGAGACCTGAGTTATCTTGATGAATATAATCTAGGCAAGTCTAAGGCAGAATGTTAAATTAAAAACAAGTTTGTCTTACACAATATTATGATCCCTGATTCATATGCAAGCAGAGCAGGCTGAGGTTTTATGTAACTGAATTTGGTCAAGAATAATACTTAAATTAACATGCTTTTGTGTAAAATGGCATTCAGAAAGATTTCAGAGATGGCCCAAAACTGGGAAATGTTGCATATTTCAATGAAAAATTAAGTCACTAAGAGTTACTAAAACTGTGAAAATAAATCAGTCTTGGGTGTTAGACACTATTGAAATCCTCAGCCCAAGAAAATACTACTTTTTTTGTAACAAATTGTGCTTTAGACCTGTAATAATAATTGATTATAAATCTGACTTTTTCCCCAGAAATAAGTGTTGAGGTATATGCTTCTCTGGTATTTTCTCTTTGAGAAATATATTGATTTCTCATGTTTTTCCCTTGCCATCCAACAAAAAGAACATAACTCACTTTACAAAAAATCTTGCATCCTACCCTGTCAGGTTGCTAGGAAGCAAAAATGACCATCAGTTACAGCTGAAATAGAGCCCACTAACCTGCTTTCCAGAGTTTTTGTTTCTTAGAAGCATTGCTTATATTACATAAAGCTTAGCATCTCTCTCTTAACAGTTTTCAACATGCATACTTCCTCAAATCTTAAATTGTTAGTGCTATAAGGCTACAGAAAGTTCTCTAAGATAAGACCAGTCTTGGGAACTGCCTTTGAGTCTGCAGACCCAGCATCTTCATGCGAGTCTTCCTTCACTAAAAACTAAGCTACACAGAGAGGTATTCTGCAGGGGGGTTTTTGTCATAGCTTGATGCTCATGTTTGCAGCTTGTGGCTGTGTCCAGACAAGCACAGCCATGTGATATATGGCACTGCAGACATATCTGTGGCACCACATACCACACATTCAGCTGTTGTCTGCACTGCAAGAGACCAGCATGATGAGGCAGGGGTTGACCCTTGAATATCTAGAGGTCATAAAAAATATGCACAAAAAGGTGGAGCAGCGCATGTGGGGTAGTGCACGCAGCTTAAAACTGGAGCCTGACCAGCCAGAGCCACACTCCAGCTGTTAGCCAGGCTCCAAGTGGCTGGATTGCCACTGCTGCAGCCCCAGGAAGGCCCCAGGACTCCAGGTAAGGCTGCTGGAGTCAGCCTAGCGTTGGCCCCAGCCTCCCCTCCCCTCCCCTCCCCTCTCCTCTCCTACCCATGGTAACCTGCTGTGTGCCAGAGGGCACATGGCACAGGTGTTCCCTGGGGACAGCACGCAAGGTGTGCTGCTGCTAGTTGTCCCTGGGGAACCAAATTTCTACGCTCATGTGGATGCCACCTGTGAGATTACTAACCAGTTCTTCCAGGCTTCCTAAACATACTCTATTTTTATCATAACCGGACAAACAGAAGTTTAGTTGGCAGAGATAGCTCTTCCTAAAACCTGTGGACATCAGAGCACTACTTGGGCTTTGTGAGATTCAAAGGGAAAGCAGATTTTACAAGGACATGCTTTTTGGATGGGAACTTGGCACTTTAGAATGAACCTTGAAAATCCTTACAAGTCCCATGTCATCAATTTTCATACTGGATTACTACTGCTTTGGGGCATGGCATGAAGCAACAATTATTAACATTGTGGAGTAATGCTTGATCACTATCCTGGTAGATGACTGAATCCTAGTAGTTAGTTAAGAACATGGATCTTATGGATTATGCCAACAGATCTGACAGCAAAAGGACTGACTATCTGCTAGTGCAAGTGATGTTCACAGATATAAATAGTAACCTGTAAAAGCTGGGTTGAATAGCTAATGACTGGCTGACTTACTGTGGGGAAAGGGAACTTAGTTTCATAGTTGGTAGGGTCGGAAAGGACCTGAGCAGATCATCAAGTCCGCCCCCCTGCCATGGCAGGAAAGAGTACTGGGGTCAAACGACCCCAGCAAGGTGTTCTTCTAGCCTCCTCTAAAAGACCCCCAGGGTAGGGGCCAGCACCACTTCTCTTGGAGATTGGTTCCAGATCCTAGCCGCTCTGACAGTGAAGTAGCACCTCCTGATGTCTAGTCTGAATCTACCCTCTGCCAGCTTGTGACCATTATTTCTAACCACTCCTGGTAGTGCTCAGGGGAACAGGGACTCCCCCAACGCCTGCTGGTCCTCTCTGACTAGTTTGTAACAGACACTAGATCCCCCCTCAGCCTTCTCTTCGTAGGGCCTGCCCTGCTGCCCCCTGATCATGCAAGTGGCCCTCCTCTGGACCCTCTCCATGTTTGTCCACATCCCTTTTGAAGTGCGGCGCCCAGAACTGAACGCAGTACTCCAACTGCGGCCCAACCAGTGTTGCATAGAGGGGGAGTATCACCTCCTTGGATCTGCTCGAGATGCATCTGTGGATGCATGACAAGGTATGGTTGGCCTTCCTGACCACGTCCCCACACTGCCGGCCCATGTTCATTTTGGCATCAGTAGTAATTCCAAGATCCTTTTCTGCCTCTGCACTGACAAGAAGGGAGTTCCCCAGCCTGTAGGTATGCTTAATCCTCAAGGAATGGGCTCTGGAGTTGAAGAATTTCTTTACATCTCCCCTTCTGTTTTCCAAATCAGTAACCTTCGTTAGAAAGACTTGAGCATAGTGGCCCAATTTTGACTTCAACTATAGTAAGCCTTAAGGCCGTAGTAACAAATAATGTAAAAGACATATTTAACACACATTAGTTTGCTATTTTAAAAGAAAAATTAAATATGGCTTCTTGATTACTGTTTTTGTTGCCCAGAGAGATTTTTTTCTTCTGATCAAAGGTACGGATCTCAACTGTTTTTTGGCCTGTTTAGTTTTTAAAATTTCTTAAAATGAATACTTTTCTTTTAAAATTTCTTAAAATGAATACTTTTCCTTTAATTTGCTCTCAGTAACATAGATTTCTTTGTTTATTAAGAATATCAATGTGAAAAGGAATCTATATTAATGGCACTGTAGCAAAGGTACTACCATATTTACTTTTATACCACATGCACTTCCCCCCAAAACTGAAGTGTGCACCTTGCATCTGCAAGCAGCCTGGGCTCTAGGTAGGTCCCTACCACACACCATGGAGCCCAGGCTGCTTGCAGGAGGGAGCTGTAAGCCTGCAAGCAGCTGCACTGGG